AATATATAATATATAATATATAATTTAATATATATATTAATATAATAATATATATATTATATATAATATAATATAATATATAATATAATATTTTAATATAATATATAATTTTAATATAATATATAATATAATATAATATAATATTATATAAAATATAATATTTTATAAAACATATAAAACATGTTTTCACATGTCATAATAAAAACTGTGAATCTAATATCCATTCTAAGAATTGGTCTATATGTTCCATATATGAGTTTATTTCCCATTCTCCTGAATCCTCCAGCTTACTGAGATCACTCCTATCTTGAATTTTATATTTACCATTCTTTTTAAAAATAGTTTTAGAGCTGGGCACGGTGGTGAACACCTGTAATCCCAGCATCTTGGGAAGCTAAGACAGGAGGATTGTGACTTCAAAGCCAGCCTCAGCAATGGCAAGGCACTAAGCAACTCTGTGAGACCCTGTCTCTAAATAAAATGCAAAATAGGGCTGGGGCTGTAGCTTAATAGTTGAGTGCCCCTGAGTTTAATCCCTGGTATCCCCACTCCCCGAAAAAATAGTTTTAGCATATACATATGGGCCCAAAATATAAACAATTTTAATACGGTTTGGGGGCTTTATAAAAATTAAAACTATATGCAGTCTGTTGGGCTTGCTTGTCTTACTCTATATTTTGTTCTGTGATTCTTTCACATTGTTTCAGATAACTGTAGTTCAGAAAATTTTCACTGCTGTATACTATTCTATTTTTGAATCACTACAGTTTATTTAAGCATTCTCTCATTGAAGAACATTTGGAATGTTTCCAGTTGTTTTGCAACCATGAACAGTGTTACTTTTGAGCATTCTTTTTTTCCCTTGGTACTGGGGATTGAAACTAGCTGCTCTCTACCACTGAGCTAAATCCCCAGCCCTCCATAAAATTTTATTTTGGAACAGGATATCACAAAGTTTTCCAGGTTGGCCTGGAACTTGCCATCCTCCTACATCAGCTTCCCAAGATGGGTGGGACAATGTGTGCCACCATGCCTGATGTGTGTTTGTGTGTGTATAGACACACACACATTCTTATACATGTAACATATATGTTAATTAAAGGAGCAAAAACTTGAGAAAATAGGAGAGAATGATTTAAGTCACAAGCAGAAGGGATAGCCTTTGATTGGAGGGTGAATTACTTCACTCTTTTTTAAAATTTTTTAATACTTTTATTTATTTGTTTATTTTTATGTATTTTGTGCTGAAATCAAACCCAGTGTCTCACATAGGCTAGCCAAGCGTTTACCGCTGAGCCACAACCACAGCCCCTACTTGTCTCTTAATATGAAGGACAATAAGTTTAGATGCAGGTGTGATAGTTTTGTGATAGGAAGAGTCAAAGAAGATAAAACCAGGTCACTCCAGAGTTGAGGTTTTCTCAAGAAAGCACAATGAAAAATAAAAGAGACATGGACTTAAAGTTTTTGCAGAAAGCAACTTAACCACTGAACTGGATCTGAGCTGAATGGAGAAATGACTACGGAAGGAGACAGGGTTAAGGTGGAAACTTAACTGAATTTGAGCTCTGGATGGTGCTTGAGGTTTGATTCTAGGCAAGCACTCGAGCAAGTAAGCCAAAAAAAAAAAAAAAAAAAAAAAAATACAATTGCAGATTGTAGACTGTCTTGGTGGCTCACACCTGCAATCCCAGCTCCTTGGGAGGCTGAGGTGGAAGGACAATTAGAGCACAGAAATTTGAATCAAGCTATGCAACATAATGAGACCCCATCTCTTAAAACAAACAAACAAACAAACAAAAAGGGTAGAGTGTTTAAATTTTTTTTTTTAGTTGTAGATGGACACAATATCTTTATTTTTTATTTACTTTTATGTGGTGCTGAGGATGGAAGCCAGGGCCTCACACGTGCGAGGTGAGTGCTCTACCACTGAGCCACAACCGCAGCCTAAAGGTTTAAATTTTGATACTGGAGACTGTACTGTTTTAGAATCATGCAAATGCCCAGGCTTTCAGCTACAGTCTCTCTATTCTTCATAGTTCAAATACAGTTGATTTAACACTGATCATTTTCACTTTCACTGCCTGTGTCTCTCCCAAAATTTATTTATTTATTCGTCCCCCCACCTCCTTCCCTTCTTTCTCTCTTACTTTTTGTGATCCTGGGGATTAAACCCATGTCCTCATACATGCTAGGCAACTGCTCTACCTCTGAGTCTTATACCCAGCACCTTCCCAAGATTCCTGTAAGTTCACAGTGAGATGGGTTTTCATGATTATATGGGCCTCTGAGTTGCTCAATCTCACATCTTATTACTGTTCTAAAACATTCAACGTAGGCCTGTAGGCCCTTTATCCAATTTCAACAATAAAATTACTCCTGTAGTTTTCATGGGGAGAGAGTTACATGGTACTTGATCAAGACTGCTTCTATTTTTTTTTTTTTTTTTTTGGTACCAGGGATTGAACTCAGGGCCACTTAACCACTGAACCATATCCCCAGCCTTTTTTTTTATATTTTATTTTAAGACAGGGTCTCACTAGGTTGCCTACAGCCTAAATTGCTGAGGCTGGCTTTGAACCTGAGATCCTCCTGCCTCAGCCTTTCCAGCCACTGGAATTATGTTCCACCATGCGGCCTGCTGTACCTGGCTAAAGCCTTCATCCTAATGTTACCTTCCCTATTTTTCTCCTTCCTTCCCATGTCTTCTGTTGTGTAGACCATGTTCCCCAGTTTTCTTAAGCTTGAAGCTGGCTAACACCCTCAGGTTGAACTAAGAAGCAATGTAAACAGGTGCTTACCAACTTAAAGGACTTATTAAAATACAGTATTCTTCCCAACTAGAATATTTCACCTCCACAGAGGACTTTAATGCCATATATTAAAGCAGTAAATTGTTCTCATCTCCATCCAAATACAATGTGATCCAACTGAAATGGTTGTGTTGTTTTGAGAAGGGATCTGGCTATGTTGCTCTGCTGGATCTCCCAGCTCAGGAGATCCTTCTGCCTCAGCCTCTGAGTAGGTACAGGCATGTACCACCATGCTTGGCTCATCCAACTATAATTTGATGGAAAAGAAGGGTAATAAGAAAGCATTCCCACTGGGCATAGTGGCATACACCTGTGATCCCAGGAGGTCAGGAAGCTGAGGCAGGAGGATCACAAGGTCAAAGTCAGCCTCAGAAACTTAGTGAGGCCCTAAGCAACTTAGCAAGATGCTGTCTCAAAATTAAAAAAAAAAAAGAAAGCACTCAACTATGCAGCATAAGAAGACCAGCACCGTTTGATTTCATGTCTCACTTTTTAAATTACTTATACTATATCCTCAATAGTAATAGTAAGTTATTTTGCAATTCTGAAAAATATTTGAAAAAAAAAAACTTTAGGTTTTTATAAACTCTCACAATTTTGAAATGTCTTTTGTTCAAATGTTTGAAAAGAACATTCTTACCAGGTGAGGGAGCTGGGGAGCTATCCCTAAGCATTTTCACAAGGAAGGAGTATTACTAAAGATTTAAAGGTTAGCTTTGCACAGAGGCAGTATTGTAGCCTATGAAATTTATCTGAGGTATGATTATTGCTATTGAAAACTTTTCCCAATACTATGCTATGACAACTTGAAATATAGTCAGCCTAGGCAATTTTTTACAGTCTCTATGGAGACTGATTAAAACAAAACAAAACAGGTGCAATGGTCAGTTCTTCCCTGTAATCTCAACAACTGGGGAGGCTGAGGCAGGAGGATGACAAGTTGAGGCCAGCCTCAGCAATTTAGTGAGGCCCTAAGCATCTTAGTGAGACCCTGTCTCAAACTAAAAAAACAAAACAGACTGGGGATGCAGCTCAGTGGTAAAGTACCCCTGGGTTAAATCTCTAATATTAAAAAAAAAAAAATTGTTCTTTAAAGAAAATGAAGAGGCAAACTAATAGGCAAGAAAAGAATCATTGCAAATATATGCCTGACAAAGGACTTGTATCTGGAGAATATAAGAATTCTTATAACACCATAATAGACAAAAAATTTAAAATGGCAAAAAAATTCTAAACATTCACTTTGCCAAAGAAGATATCTGTATGTCAAACAAGCACAAAAATAGTCTGAATATCATTAGTCAGTAAGGACATATAAATTAAACTACAACGAGACACAACTACACAAAGTTTAAAGTTTAAAAAGACTGATCCTACCAAATATTGACAAGGATGTAGAACAAATGGAACTCTCCTTGGGTACTGATAGGAATGTAACAGAGTTTAAACACTTAAGAAAATAGTTTGGAAGTTTCTTAAAAAGTTAAACATATAACTACTATATGACCCAGGCTTTTACTCTTAAGTTACCTATATAAAAGAAATGATTTGTACACAGATAAAGACTTGTACCAGATGTCTATAGCACTTCTGTTTGTAATATCCAAAAAAGCAGGTGTTGGGGAACCCAAATATCTATCAAAAGGTAACAAGGGCTGGGGTTCTGGTTCAGTGGTAGAGTGCTTGCCTAGCATGTGTGAAGCACTGGGTTCCACTCTCAGCACAACATAAAAATAAAATAAAATAAATAAAGGTATTGTGTCCATCTACAACTAAAAAATTTTTTAAAAAGAGTAATAAATTGTGATATATCCATAAAACGACATAGTATTTGCAATCAGTGAGTCAACTGATATATACAACAACATGGGTGAATCTTTTTTTTTTAAAGTACCACAAAGGTACTTTTTTAAAAAATTATTTTTTAGTTGTAATTCGACAGAATACCTTTTATTTTGTTTATTTTTATATGGTGCTGAGGATCGAACTCAGGGCCTCTCACATGCTAAATGAGCACTCTACCACTGAGCCCCAACCCCAGCCCCAACATAGGTGAATCTTAAAAGTGCAAGTGAAAGAAGTCAGACCCCCCAAAAAAAAATCCAAAGGGGGGATATATTTAACAATTCCATTTACATAAAATTCTACAAAATGCAAACTATAGTGGGAGAAGGGACAGATGAGAAAGAGTTTCAAGACGGGCATATAAGGACACTATTGGGGATAATTGATACGTTCATTATACTAATTGTCATGATGGTTTATTTGCGTATGTCAAAACTATTCAAAATGTACACTTTAGGGCTGGGATGTAGCTCAATTATAGTTTATAGCAAGGCCATAGATTCAATCCCCAAGATAAAAAAAAATATATTTATTTGGGGTTGGGAGGTTGGGGTTGTAGTTCAGTGGTAGAGCATTTGTCAAGCACATGTGAGGCACTGGGTTCAATCCTCAGCACCACATAAAAATAAATAAAATAAAGGTATTGAGTCCATCTACAACCAAAAAAAATTTTTTTATAAATACCCTGGCTTCTTGTTGTTTTGAATAAAGTAAAATAAAGTAATATATGTAACTAGACAGAAAAATAAAATACAAAAAAAGGTATATAAAATGAAAAGAAAAAGATCCTCTTCCCACTTAGCAAGTCTTTCTTTCAAAGAAACCAATATCAACAAATTGTTATAGTTTCCCAAAGGAAAAAGATACATTGATTTGTGTTTACATTTTATTTTTATGAAACAAATGCTGAAACAAACATCCCCATTGCACATCTGTGATTATTTTTCTAAATAAAGTCCTAAATTTGAACTATAAGCATGATGGATATTACATGAAATTACTTTCTAAAAAAAGAGTTTTACAGGGGCTGGAGAAGTAGCTCAATGGTAAAGGACGTGCTTAGCATGTACAAGGCCCTGCCTGGATTCAATCACTAGCAACATCAAGAGAGAGAAAGAGACAGAAGCGGGGGGAGATATTTTAGGAATTAAATTTGAATGATATTTAGGTTTGTCAATTTCTAAATTTGGCCTCAAATTTATAAAGCTTAAAAGAATTATAAAGTATGATAAATTCAAATCTATTGAATTTATATAAAATATGGTATGATATCAGTTGAAATTGAAGGTATTAAAACTGGAGGAAGGGCTGAGGATGTGGCTCAAGCGGTAGCGTGCTAGCCTGGCATGCGTGCAGCCCGGGTTCGATCCTCAGCACCACATACAAACAAAGATGTTGTGTCCGCTGAAAACTGGAAAATAAATATTAAAAATTCTCAAAAAAAAAACTGGAGGAAAGGAAAAATAATCTTTGTTATTTATGATATTATAAGATATTTAGTGTCATTTTTTTTTTCCCCTCAGTACTGGGGATCAAACCTAGGGCCTTGCACATGCTAGGCAAGCACTCTACCACTGAGCTAAATCCAAAGTCTTTCTAATTTTTTATTTTGAGGTAGGGTCTTGCTAAGTTGCCCAGGAAGACCTTGAATTTTTGATCCTCCTGCTTTAGATTCCTTGGTAGCTGGAATTACAGGTCTGAACTATCACCAGCACCTGCTTTAGTGTCTTTATAATTGAAAATATCACCACCAAACAAATCCACTTTATGACTGTCTAACAAAATTAATTTTACCTATCTACTATTTGGCAACATAACAGACTTTATTTTCTTGCTAAGTTCCCAGGATGGTCTCAAACTCATGGGCTCAAGTGATCCTCCCACCTTGGTTTCCTGAGTGCTGGTCCTACTGAATCCAGCTAAAAGATCACAGGGACTCAGAAGATATCCCTCTTTTACCTCTCACTAGCTGTGTGACCTTGGAGGACACCATCATACCCTGAGAGGCTGTTTTCACAATTATAAAGTGAGCTGATTGGGCACCAGGACCTCTATAATCTAGTTCTAAAATTCAAAAATGAACTCAGTCTCCCACTGTCCAAGTGCAAAAGCCTCATATCAGATGTCAGTCTAGGATCTAGTTACAAAGGTCTACCTATTCAGAGAAAGCATAGAAAGGAGCGAAGGTAAATAGCCTTATGGTTCAGCAGTAATCTAATGACAAAACATAATACTTTATATTTTATGAGGCTGTACAATTACAACAACCTGGCACATTGTGGAGAAGAGATTCCTTGCTCCCTGGGAGTATATAAAACTACAAAACACAAAGATGTACCGGTAATTATAGTTTATAATACCTTAAAATACATATAAACCCAGGACTATGTGTCATACATGTTTCATTATTGCAAACAAAATTCTTTTCAGGCAAATTCTCAGGTCTCTATAAGTTGATCTGCCTCTGAGCAAGAACAAATTATAGAAAGATATATAATCAGACTTTCTGATGACTCTGCCTGTGTAAGTCCCATATTATCTGATCACAGCTTCAGATCACTAAAGCTCAAGTGGTCACTTATTTTAAATTTCTTGCCTGTAATCTTCACAATATACCTGACAGGAGAAGGATGCTGCAGGAATTTTCCATTGAGTAAAGAAATCATTAAGAAGAAGAATATTTATTTATTTTGGGGGCAGGGCACTGGGGATTGAACTCAGAGGTGCTTTAGGACTGAGCTATATTGAAAGCTCTTTTTATTTTTTAATTTTAATACAGAATCTCACTATACTGCTTAGGACATAGCTAAATTGCTGAGGCTAGCCTAGAATTATTGATATCTCCTGTCTCAGCTTCCAAGGTCGCTGGGATTACAGGCATGCACTACTGCACCTAGCAAGAGGAATTTAGAAAAGATCAATGACAACAAGCATTTAAATGAATGCCTTAGGAAAGAAAATTGAGATTTGTTTAATCTTACACCAGATTGAGAATAAGAATATCCGGGATCTGGATCCTAGACTGACTCCAAAGGAAGTCAGACTTCCTTCTCCATAGCTACTCTCTAGGAAACTGGTGGGTCCCAAGTGTATCTTCTTTCACTGTGCTACCCAAGGGTAAAAATCAAAATAACGCAGTACTACATCTGTTAAGCCAGGGTGAAGTACCTACCCCCACCCTCCAAAAGCATAGGTGTTGGATCTCACATCCTGTCTGGTTTAAGCCACATCCTTAGATAGCACCTAAAATTGCATCATCCTCCACCTTGTGGAGGCATCTTTTCCTTTAAATGAACAGCAAGTCACCATTAAAAGTGGTTCCCAAAATAACCCAGTGGTTTCATTGCCATCGGAATATCTGACATCAAGACTGAGGAAGCGGATGCATCTCCTCCAAGGGGGAGGGACCGTGGTGTTAACCTTCACACTTGACTCTACTCAGTTACTCAACAGGAACAGCTGCCAAACCCAGGAACTTAAAAATCCAGACAATGGGTTACATTCCTCACCTCCTAATTATTTAAAAAATTTAATAAATAGCTTCACATGAACAGAATGAGTTTTAGGCAAAGGGAACTAAAGATAGTAAAAACATTTGATCATCTGATAGGGGCTGGGGACATAGCTCAGTTGGTAGGGTACTTGCCTTGCATGCACAAGGCCCTGGGTTCAATCTCAAACACCAAAAAAAAAAAAAAAAAAAAAAAAAAAAATTGAAAAAATGCCAGAACCAGAACTCTCTCATTAGAGTGTAGGAACATGTGGTAGTAAAGATTAAAAACCAAAAAAAAGGGCGGGGGGGAAGGTGGAACTTTTCATATGGAATAACTTCTGTTTGCAATACTCAGAAGTATTTTAGTTTTGAATTTCCCCACTGAACTTTTCATAGCATGAGAATAAAAGAATCTTAATTTGTAAGGGGACAAATATGGACTTGCCTCTAAAATAAAACTCATAAACTGATTATATAAAAAAACTGATTCTATAATACCAACTGTATTCAATAC